GTTAAATATGAAGTGCAATACACATACTTTTATAAGTTTGTTTGGGTTGGTTTTGTGTTTTGTATGTTTGGTTTTTTTTTGTTTGGTTGGTTTTTTTTGCTTGGAGGTTTTATATCAAGGAATCTTTCCTAGCTTTTTTCCCCGGTTTTTTTGTTTGGTTGGATTTTTTTTTGCTTTTCCTTGGAGGTTTTGTATCAAGGAATCTTTCCTAGCTTTTTTCCCCAAATATTTTTCCTTTGCATCTTTCATCTTCAACCCTTGTCTCAGCATTTGTGTTGTTTGTCTTGGAATAAACATTCAAGGATACCAAAACTGGGGAGGGGAGGGGTTGTGGAAGGAAGGCGGTGATTGAGCATCAACCACACCTCCCTTGGTGTATCTTATCTGCTGCTGTTCCTGACGCTAATTCCCCGGCTGCTCTTTTGGTGGCCTCTTTCTGTAGGCTTCCCTACCTTCTGTGCCATTTCTTGCTGTAGTCATTTTGACCCCTGCTTTATGGAGTGGAAGATAATTGGTCACTTTGCTGTCAAATTTGATTTCCAGTTGGTCATTTCAGTTAGCTGCAAGTTGCTCGGTGATGGTGGTTTGCCTGCTGCTTTCTGCAGGCAGACCAAGGCTTGCTTAGAGCCAAAATAAAGGAAAAAATACAGAAAAAGCACAAGAAGCTATAAAATTATATTCCCAGAGTTTTAAATTGTATTTAAAATGTACAAAAAAAGGCTTACTTTTTCTTCAAGGAATTAGTTGTCTAGTTAATTCTAGCGAAGGATGAACTATTACATAAAAACTGTCAATACCAGAGATGGCCTTAATGCTTTGTAGAGTCACCATGGGTAGAACACTTTTGCTGTAGTTACACAGTCCTACTTGGGTAGTCTGAGAGCCTTTTTTCCTCCTCCTCCCCATCTATCTATAGTTATTTTTGCTTTTCTGACTATTAACTGACTTCATTATTCTATAGTTGTCTCCTTTCTTGCACTTCTTTGGCTGTGTTTGTGTAGCTGCCGGGCTCTGTGCACAGTTTGCTCAGCCGTGCCTTTGTGGATTGTACGCTGGCTCTGAGGGCTGGCAAATTTCTTTTTAACAGGCAAGCAGAGGTTTACCACAGAATCACAGAATGCTATGGGGTTGGAAGGGACCTCTGGAGATCATCCAGTCCAACCCCCTGCCGAGCAGGTCCACCCAGAGCAGGTCCCACAGGAACGTGACCAGGTGGGTTTGGAATGTCTCCAGAGAAGGAGACTCCACCACCTCCCTGGGCAGCCTCTTCCAGGGCTCTGCCACCCTCACAGTGAAGAAGTTCCTCCTCATGTTTAGATGGAACTTCTTATGTTCCAGTTTGTGCCCATTTCCTCTTGTCCTGTCCCTGGGCACCACTGAAAAAAGTCTGGTCCCATCCTCCTGACACCCACCCTTGAAGTATTTATAGGCGTTGATTAGATCCCCCCTCAGCCTTCTCTTCTCCAGACTCAAAAGACCCAAGTCCCTCAGCCTTTCCTCCTAAGAGAGATGCTCCAGGCCCCTCCTCATCTCTGTAGCCTTCTGCTGTCCCCTCTCCAGCAGTTCCTTGTCCTTTTTGAACTGGGGAGCCCAGCACTGGTCCCAGTGCTCCAGATGGGGCCTCCCCAGGGCAGAGCAGAGGGGCAGGATGACCTCCCTCCATCTGCTGGTCACCCTCTTCCTGATGCCCCCCAGGATGCCATTGGCCTTCTTGGCCACCAGGGCCCATTGCTGGCTCATGGGCATCCTGGTGTCCACCAGGACTCCCAGGTCTTCCTCAGAGCTGCTCTCCAGCACGTAACAGGTTGCTGGATGCTACCAGTGCTCTATGGCGTAGCAGGTTGCTGGATGCTACCAGTGCTCTATGGCTGCTCTTAACCATGGAGAGTGTGAGCTGAGCTCTCAAGTTGCGTGGAACAGAGGCAAAAAGTGGCTTTAGCTCACCTTGGATTTGCGTCCTCTCTTATAAAGAGGGTTAAGGTGTGCTTGTTTTGACAGCCAAGAGACTTTGTGCCAGAGACTGTCATCTTTTGGCCCAGATGGTAGTACCCGAAGAATGAATTGGGTCTGTCATTCCTGGACACAGCACAGAATAAAGAAGAGATGTAAATTATGGTGTATGGGCCATAACGAAGATAATAGACAGACTTGATAGAAAGTGAGGAAAAGAAGATTTTATTTTTTTTTTATTGTCAGTGTTCTTCCTTAAAACTCCTTGGAAAGCCACTGATGTTGCCAGTTAAAACTCCTTGGAAAGCCACTGATGTTGCCTCCTTTCTCTCTCTTCAGTAGTTACAGCAGCTTATGTAGAGTTACAGCAGTTAATAGCTGCTGGCTATTTATCTACTGGTTCAGATGATGGATCTAAAAGCACCAGCTATGCAGCCAGTTTACGTGGACTTTGACATTTTGCTTGGGGGAGACCTACATCAAAGTAACATTGAGTGCACCGAGTGGATGCACGAGAAGTCAGCTAAGGCCAAACTGATAATTGTTTGTATGGCTTGCCTCCATCTGTGCTATTAAAGCAGAGATGATGGACAGCTACAAGGGCTTAAAAATTTGAGAAAACTCAATAAAAAATGGTAGCTGAAATGCAGGGTGGGTGAATGTGAAGTGATGTATACACAGTCTGCTCTTGTGCTGTGTGGTCATTGATAAGCTGTGAACATCTGTGTAAGCTCAGGAGCAAGGTCTTGGGTCCATGTACAGTGGACTGTGTCATCAGCTCAGTCCTCAGCAGTAGCCAAAAAAGCCAATTGTACTTTGGGAATTGGTAGGAAAGGATCAGAGAACAACAGATCAGGCTGTGGATCTGTGATTGGTTTGCCTCTTGGATGCTGGATGTAGCTCTCACCCTGGCCTCTCCAAAAGAGTACAGAGCTAGAGTAGTGTTACAGAAGAGCAGCAGAGGCTGTCAGAGGTACGAAACAACTTCTTAATGAAGGATGCTGGATTATTACAGCTATTTTCCAACACGGGTAGTACTGTGCAGCAATTAAGCTAATGGGCAGTGATTTTGAAATGACCGTGTCCTCCCTTTAACAACGTTCAGGTAATCAGAGGGAGCCCTTGGTACAGGGGCTTTTGTGGGGTCTCCGTTTACGTGATGATAAGAAGAGTGTTTGAGTGCACAGAAGAGAAATCAATCATGCTATTTAAGTGGAAAAATGCCCCCGACTTACCAAATACTTGAGATGTAGATTTTTGGTGGCTGTGGAGATGTTTAGAAAAATACTGCCATCTCTTTTCTTGGTTGTGTGCGCTCCCTTAGGTGTATTTTTTTGGCCAACATTGAAGGCAGGGACTTCGGTCTGACCTATGTGGCTGCTCTTGCTGGATGATGGTTTTAAAATCACACTGTTTAATGATATTGCTTTTGTGTAGGGAGCCAAGCCCTCCTGTGTGCTTGGAGAACTGCTGTAGAAGTCGTCTGCGCTTGAGAATGCTGCCTTGTTTCAAAGTTGAAAGTAGTGATGTGCAATGTGAGAAATGATGTAATAAAGTGGTTAGGGTGGTTGGTACCAAAACCTTTGGATCTGCAGGATTAGTTGTATCCCAGCCTGTACAGCCTGCTCCAGTTCTGTTGTACGTGCATCCATCCTCCTCCCAAAGCTGCGTGGAGTGTCTTGTGCTACCTCTCCGCAGGACACAGAGAGGGATGGGGACTAAGAGACAGAGTTTTGCGTTTTTTATCCTCTTGGAGAAGTGCAGCAGCAAAGTACCCAGTGTGCTGGATTGTTATGGCTCCGGACACTGATAGAACATGAGGGGGACCTGTAAAAACAGAAGGGTCGCATCCCGTTAGGTAGAGAAGGAGAAGGGGACCCCTGTGCCACTTTGAACTGCAGTGTAAACTTTCTAAAAATAGGCTCTGAGCTTCTGGGAGTATGAGATTGATTAAAAAAAGATTAGATGTTAGGGTGCAGAAGTGTCATGGCTGCTGGCCTGGAACTTGGTATTGAGATACTTAGATGACTTTTTTTCCTTTTTTTTTTTTTTTTTTTTTTTTTCCTGCGTTGTTTTCTTTAA